GTGACCGGTCCCTCCCCTCCGGGAGGCACCGGCGGGGTCTGGCCGTGCAGGTGCCCCTGGGCTGCCTCCCCCAGGGCATGCCCAGCCCCGCAGACCCCTGAGGAGCTGGGAGCAGGCGAGCTGTGCCATCCCGGCTGGTCCACCAGGCTGGGCACGGCACTGACAGCCCCAGCGCAGGGTGTAATTAAAGCTATTAATCATCCTGCCACTGTGGCAGGACCATCGATCCTGGCAGCCCAGCTCTAAGGGCTCCTCTGGGAGGACAGAGCAGGACACGGCCCATGTCCCTGGGACTCCAGCGCCTGTCTGGCATCCCAGGGGACACGCGTCCCTGCGGCCATCACACCTGGCTGCTGGGCTCCTGGGGAATGGCTCTGCCAGCACGGTTGCTCCCGCTGCTCCGGGGCCCTGGGGAAGTGGGGTCCAGGTCTGCCCTGGCTCCATCCTGCCCTCTGGGATGCCTGGCAGGGCTGGGGGTGCTGCCGGGGTCTGGTTGGGACCCACCTTTTTTCTCTCTGTCAGCGGGTGGCTCCTACTACATGATCTCGCGCTCCCTGGGACCCGAGTTCGGTGGGGCCGTGGGGCTCTGCTTCTACCTGGGCACCACCTTTGCCGGTGCCATGTACATCCTGGGCACCATCGAAATCCTGCTGGTACGTGCCTGGTCCTTCTCCCCACTCGGTGCCGAGGGCTCAGGTCCTGGCAGGGCAGCTCTGCCCTCGCCTGCCCGTGCTGCCTGCTCCTTGTGGCCCATCAGAGGGCTGAGGTTTTGCAGTGGGGCCAAGGGACCCTTCCCCGGCACCCCCTCTGCGGTGCCGTTAGCCAGGCAGTGACGCCATGATTCTCTCCCAGGCCTACATCTTCCCAGCCATGGCCATCTTCAAGGCAGAGGACGCCAGTGGGGAGGCGGCTGCGATGCTCAACAACATGCGTGTGTATGGCACCTGCGTGCTGACCTGCATGGCCACCGTGGTGTTTGTGGGGGTCAAGTACGTCAACAAGTTTGCCCTGGTCTTCCTGGGCTGTGTCATTCTCTCCATCCTCGCCATCTACGCTGGTGTCATCAAGTCAGCCTTCGACCCCCCAAGCTTCCCGTGAGTACGGCATCCCACGGGGCTGCGGCAGGGCTGGGGTGTGCAGGCACGTGGCTGAGTACCTGTCACACC